CACGCTGGAATGGGATGGAAATGGGTCTTGAGTAAGTCCTTCCACAGTCTCTGCCACAAACAGCATCTTTCTTCAGTCACGGCAAAAATAAATTAGACACGTTGATCACCAGTTGGTAGCAAACCAGTGAAGGTTCCTGTGCACGGGTGTGCTGCCGCATACCTGACACACCGATCTTGGAGCTACTTTAGTGGGTGAGCAGGTAAAAAGGGGAAATCCAGCCTCAGATGGGTGCTTGAAGGGGACTTTCCAACCGTGAGTGTCAGTGATTCCATAGTTTTAGCCCAGATGGCAGTTAGCACATAAATGCCTGTCTTGCATTTTATGACCAGAAAGAAAAGTGTCTTTAGAAGAGCTGCCAGCCATTAAGTATTTTCTCGTGTCAGGGCCCATATATCAGGCCTGGGTTGAGGTTTTGCAGATGGATTGTCTCTGCTCCCTGCGCTTGTCACAGTCCCCCCAAAGCAGCTGCCTGTCAGAGGTTGGCAAAGAAATTGAGCAGGTTCCACGGCAGTCCGACTGAAGCCACCAGCGACCTTATTCAAGAAAGGCCAACACAGCCTGACAAAGTCTCCCTATTCCAAATGAATATTTCCCTCATATTTTGGCATTCACTTAGTCACTTATTCATTCAACAAATATTTATTGAGCACTTCTATGTGCTAGGCACTGGGGTACACTGTGAACAGGCAGACGGGGTTCCTGCTCTCATAGAACATTTTAGTGGAAGGAGGCCGAGAATGTACGAGTAAACAAATGCATAATTAGGATGACTTTGATTGTGGTGCGTGCTACAGGATAGGGAGTGACTGTGTGGGAGGGGGCAGTTTAGATTAGTTTAGATTTGGGGACAGAGGGAGTGTATCTTCCGGCTGTGCCCAGCTCTGCAGGGGGCCACTGCTCCCTTGGCTCCTGAGCCAGCTCAGACGCCAAAAGCTGATGTTGGTTTGAAGATAGGGAAGAATGATTTGTGCTTGGTTTAAGGTTGTTTTCAGCCAACAATCAGAGCAAGGAGTAATGTACAAGATCAAGAACGGACGGGAGTGGGTGTGGCTCCCAGAAGTTTCCATGTTCCTCAGTGATCAGTGCAGCCTGCACCGAGGGTGATATCGGCCAGGTTGAAGGAGCCAGCACTGAGACCTGTTGCCTTTTATGCCATTGTGCTGCATGCAGGGGTTACCTACCGGCATCTGAGACAGCACTTGTGCCATGGTTGTGTTCTCCCGTGGTCTGTTTCTGGCTGCGTCAGTGGCCTCAGCAGACCGGCCATGGCCACTGCGGCTGCTGGTGCCGTCGGGAGCTCCTAGATGCGTTCTCAGTGACTGCTGTTGCTTCCTCGTGGCCATCAGCAGAGGGCTGTGAAGCAGGCCACATTGCTCTTTACTCCCGTCCCTTTAGACTCACAGTGTTAACACCCAAGGCACACTGAGGGCTTGGGAGTCACAACATAAGAGGAGAAAATTGAGAACTGTGTGCTTCTGAGGGCCGTCCTGAGTCCAGTAAAAACCCACACTCATACTAAAGCACCCTGCACAGGAGACTCGCTCTCGGACACCCTCATTCCTCTCCTGCAGGCCCACTCACCTCCTGGAAAGCACCTCCATGCTCTGAATCAGCCTCTTCCTGCCATATTCTGGGAGTTTTATCCTCGAGCCTTGTGAAGTCTGTCTATTGTATTATTTGATCTTTCATTTCCAGAGAGTCCTTGTTCTCCCATTTTCTTGAGAAAACAAAGCATTATATTTTTCATCAGATCCTGGTTAAAAATCTTCCGGACTAGACTCTTCAACTGCCTTTTGCATAGGTTTTTCATAGGTCCTGTGCTAGTGTGTTCCGCATGTTCATCTTTGAATAGAAGCAGTTCTGTCTGGGGCTGTGTTGACCTATTAATATATGGGTGGATCTGCCTTGACTCCCTTCCCTGTTTATCTGAGCAGTGGTGAATCTTCTCTGTCAGAGCTTGCACTGGACGGCTGGCCTTGATGCTTCTTGGGGAGTGGGAAGGGTACAGAGGCAGTGGGAACATGTCATCTGTTTTTACTGTCTCCCCATGCTTGCCCTCCCGTTTGCAGAGTCCCCTCTGCCTGTGTATATGTGACCCCATGGCAGGACTTCCCTTGAATTTTCAGCTCCCCTCTGCCTTCAGGGCAAACAGGCCCTCCAAAGAGGGCCTGGGTTGGTGTGATTTCCCATGACTCATGGGCCTTCTTTTGGTGGGTTCATATGTACTTTTGGTTACTATCTTTCAAGAAGTTCAAATGGCTCCTAAGATATACTTTTCCTTCTCTCCTTCAGCCTTTCCTCAGGTTAGGCCACCCCTTATTAGAAAGCTGGGGCAGTAAAAAAAAAAAAAAGAAGAAGAAACTGCTTCTGCCCAGTCCTGCCCAGGCTTCCAGTCCTCCTCCCTCCAAACTGGGCATTGTCAGGCCTCTAGAATGTTCTTGCTCCTTCCCTCACATTACATGAGATGGGTAGAACTCAATGTTCTCTTTCAATTTGTCCACCTTTCATTGTATACAGCAGACCTTCAGAGTTACAGCATGGAGTTTGGCCATTCTCTTGTTTCATTAAGTTTTCTTCTGTACATTGGGCTATTTTTACTTATTTCCATGGGTTCCAAGGAGTTATGCAAATGAGCACTTAACTCTGCCATCTTTCCAAGAAGTTCTTCAACTGCTAACTATTTTAAATGGTGAGACAAAGATAAAATATGTCAGAAGATTAAGAGGGACGTACATCTTTTAAATTAGAAAGTTAAGACTAGAAAAGATAACAGAAATGAGTAAAAGGATTAAAATTAACAGTGATGAGCCAGAACTGAACAGTGAGAAAATGAAGCTAAAGAATTAGATGAAAGTATTAAAAAAAGAACTCAGAAACTCTAAGGGTAAAATTATGGCAAAAAGATAAAATTAAATGGTGGGAAAGGTTGAAAAGAACTAGCATTTAAACGTTTTTAACAAAATCTTAAAGATTAAAGGGCTAGAAAATAACGTGCTAAGACAACTAAATAATCTTAGTTTTTAAAGATTAAAATAAACTAAAAGATAGAATGTAAGCAACATACAAGGTTCTCTCATTCTGTAATATCCATATTAAGGATGTCCCTGTATTTACTGATGTAGAAAGATGTCCAAGACTGTTTAGGTAGAAAGCAAGTCTCAGGACGTTGTGTAGTCTGCGTGCAAATGTCACATTAAGGTTTGCAGACACAGAGAGAAAGGAGTGGCAGGAACGGCACCAAACTGTTACCTGGAAGAGGAGAGGGAGCGAAGGTGGGAATGGCGTGGACACCCTCAGATCCCCTCACCATTTCTGGGTTCCTCCCCCCTCCCCTCTTCAGCACTTGGCTGCAACACCCACTCTGGCAACGACTCCTCTTAGGTGGGCTGCCCTGCTTTGCCCCCAGGTGCAGAGAGCTCCAAGTACCTGGGAGTTCACGTCCCCCACCCCCACCCCGGGGCCCTCAGCTCCTTGTCTCAAGTGGGACAACTCTGAGCATAATCTACCTCCAGCGGCACTGTCCAAAATATAAAGCAAGCGACATATGTGATTGTACACTTTCTAGTAGCCACATTAAACTAAACTTTAATGTATTTTATCGTCAACATGTAATCAACATAAAAATAATTAATGAGATGTTCTGCATTCTTTTTTAGTGGTACTAAGTCCTCGAAGTCCGGTGTGTATTTACACTTACACATCTCCCTTTGCCCACATTTCAGTTGCTCAGTCGTCTCATACGGCGAGCTGCCACCACATTGCACAGCCTGGCTTCACTCAGGTTGAAGCTGTCCTTTCCCAGGACTTTGCCTGAAAATGAAACCTCGCTTCCCTGTCCTGCTTTCTCTACTCTCTTATTGATTTCTTTTAGGAGAACGTTTTTTTTTTTTACTTGCACGATTAAGAAAGGAGCACTTTCTTAATAAATCTTTTGTAGACGAGTATTATTTTCATCATTTAAAAAAAATCTCAGGGGTTCCGAAGGAAATATGTCTCTCATCCAAAAGCCCTGCTTTGTTGTTTACTTGTTTGTTTATTGCTAAGGCAGCCAGAAACCCTAGTGACACCGGGTTCCACTGAGTGAAGAACAGCTGATAACATACCAGAACCTCGGCTCCCTGTCATGTGCCGTATGTGGAAGGTTGAGCCTTTCATGTCTGTCTGGTTGCTGCCCAGATAAGTGGCCTGAAGCCAGCCTTGGGTAAGATTACCTGGAAGTCTGGGCCAGGTATGCAGCATGCGGCTTCTCAGGCCCAGGAAAGGTGATGAGGGGAGCGGGGTCATCACTTATATAGGCGAATGCCAGGAGGACCTGGCAAGAGTGACCTTGTTTTTTTTTTTAACATGCCTGCAGCCTGACTGGTCCTGCTGCAGCAGCTTGGGAGAGGGCCGTGTCTGTCTGGTTCCAGACCCCAGCCTGGATGGAGTCGCTTCTCTCGGCGTCCACCCGTGCAGCGGGATGGCGGTTAATGATACTGCCCCGAAGCACCAGGCCTTTTGTCTTTTGCCTTGTCACACTCTTTATTAAGAAGACATTACAAAGAGTCCCTTTTGACCAAAAGATTATCTAAGATTGCTTTTTATTTTTATTTTTCCATTTCCAAGTCATTGGGTTTTGTTTGCTCATTTGTCTGTCATTTGAGGTAGAGGTGAGTGAAGAATACGGCTAATTGGCTCAGAAAATAATTCCGATCAGAAGGAGCAGGGATGCCTAACAGAGCAGCTCCTTCATCCCAGAGCCACCATTCCCACCTTCCTCATTGTGTCATCAGAGAAAGGAGCAGGCAGGTTTAGGAGTGCATTTCTCAACTTATTCTCATGAACAATCCATGTATTAATTCAGCAAGCGTTTACTGCTTATTTAGTCTATGCCATTACAGACTCTGGAAATGTGGGTTTGGTCCTTTCTGTCTACAGTAGGCCCTTTCTATGGCTTTTCTTAGATATTTTAATTGGACATTAGGAGATAAACCAAGCCCTCCTGGACTAACACAGTGAGGGCCATGAGGTCCCACCACTAGTTATTTTCTACCAGCACTCTAGACATAGCTTGTCCTTACTGAATGAATGTTGCCTTTTTCTGAATAAGCTTGTGATGGTTTAAATGCTCACTGCCCTCCCTCTGCCTTAGATCCCACTGACTTGACAGTGTGGGTGTCTTCACTCACTGCTGAGGGATGTGACGGGATTTGGACAGTTCCAGGGGCACGACGCCTTCCTCTCCTGGAGCATGCACGGGCAACACTTCGTGCAGTAAGGGCGTGGTGCAGCCTCGCAGGGGCCCCTGGGTCTCGGGAGTGCCTTGGCTTCGCCCTCCTAACTTACTAACGGGGCTGGCCTCTGGGCAGAGTGCCGGAATAGGCCAGTGATTGGCCTGCCGTCCTTCTTCTCTGTTCTCAGTGCCTTTCCCAACTCCTTCTGCCTCAGTACAGCACTTCAGCCTTCAGGCCCACTGATGGATCCGCTGACGAAGGGGTCTTGTGGGAGTCAGATGGCACAGACCCTTCTGTGGAAAGCAAAGTCATCTCTCTCCTTTGGCATCCAGCCCCTTCAGACGTGGCCGACACAACACCCTGAAGTAGAGTCCCAGGTCAACCTGTAAGTAAGCAAAAGCAGCACCCTGTTTGGGCTTGTGCTTACTCTAACTTGGAATCCCTAATGCTCAGGAAGAAAATTACCTTTGGGGGGAGAATAGGGAGGGAGAAGGGAGTGGATATTTGGTTGGGAGATTTCATTTCTGTTCTTAATAATGTCTTATTCATGTATTTATTTAGTTACTTAGCAGTATTCATTGAGCACCTACTCTGGCCAGGCCCTGTGGCAGGCATGGTGAGCAAAGTAGATTCAGGTCCTGTCTTCAGAGAATCTACAGCTCATGGGACAGATAGCCATGAATGAAATAATCACACAAATAAATACTAACAAATTGTGATAAATGCTCTGAAATGTGTTGCCTTGATTCAATAAACATTTACAGAATGCCTTCTATGTGCCAGGAACACACTGGGGATAGAAGAGAATAAGACATCTACTTACCCTTTAATATCAGATAGTATCTAGAAGAGAAAAAAACCCCAATATTATTCCGAAGAAGTGATAATAATAACTATACTATAACTAATATATTAATAGATTCTAAGTCCCATAGGGTAGTAACTATGTTTTCCAGTTTATGCTGAATCCCCAGGGCTTTGTTATGGTGTACAATATTTGTTGAATGAATGAATAAGTAAATGAATGAAGAAGATACTACAAGACAAGGGTGCTTAGCTCTCCAGAGGCAACTAGGTGCAACAATATGATTGACTTCAAAACAAACGAGATGCTTCATCAATTCAATGCAACAAATATTTATCGATGCTTACTGTACCTAGTGCTTTTGTGAAGCTAATTCCTAGCCAAGGGCATGGACCAGAATCACCTGTGGGGCTTAAGAAACAACTTATGCCTGAGGCCCATCCCAGAGATTCTGATTCAGTGGCTCTGGAGTGGGTGCAAGAGGGCTCTTCAGGGAGCTTGCACTCGAAGAATGCAGCCTTTCCAGGCAGGCAGACAAGTAACCAGATAACTCCAGTGCTGCTGGAAAAAAGCATGTATAAAGTGCTATGGGAGGAAGTAATCTGCCGGGACAGGGAGGAAAAGGGTAACAGTTGAGTTTAGGCAGGAGAAGGGGAAGAAGGCCACTTTAAATAGAGGAAACTGCAGAGCAAAGGCCTGGATCCATGAAAGTATGTTCCAGCAATCTGGATAGGTGTTAAACGATGGTTCTCAACCCTGGCTGCACATGAGAATCACCCCAGGAGCTGTAAAAACATATGGACGCCTGCACCATCCCCCCAAGGTTCTGAAGTCTAGGGTGGGACCCACATACCAGTAGTTTATAAAGCTCCCCAGGTGATTCTCATGTGCAGCCAGGGTTGAGAAACACTGCTTTTAACAACATAACCACACATAAATAAATACAAAATAGTTATGAAGCACCTTACATGCCTAGCTAAGGGCTAGGAACTTTATATCTGAGGCAATGGGGAGCCACTGGTAGCTTTCATGATCTTAAGAGATAACGCAGTTTAAAACATACAAGGTTCACGTAGATAAATTCATGATTGCTCGTTCTGTAGTGGATTCTTCAGGGAAACTAGGGGAAGCCTGGAGTCACCGTTGGCTTTTCAGAGCTACCACCATACCTTCCATAAATAGTTCTAAGGGGCCATTTATGAGAATATGAGAAGTGAATGTCTCCTTGATCTGAAACTGAAATCTAAAATTTCAGTGAATACCGAATTATCTGAGCGAGATGCTCCTGTTTCTTGGAGGCCGCTGGTAACCAGCCAGGGGCGCTCCAAGGGAGGACAGGGAAGCCAGGACTTCATCTCCAAAGGTGGGGTGGGAAGAAGGACCGCTCCTCCTTCCTCCGGAGCGTCAGGCCGAAGTTCCAGTCTTCACAGTGATCCAGCTCAGCGCCGCCTCTTTTCTAGACTACAAGCCCCACAGTGCACCGCGCGGATGACGCGATCAAAGGGGCGGGCAGGACTGCGGTTCAGCCTATGAGACGCAGGGAAGCAGCCCGGGGTGGTACCTTCCGAGTCTTATTGGCGAAAAATTCTGTCAAGAGTAGGACCCGGCCCTGGTGATTGGCGGCCGCGGGGCTTAGCTATGCCCTGTGAGAATGTGGCGGGCGGGGTCGCACCAAGGGCTGCACCCCAGACTGGGGGGCGTCAGGGTCCGGACTTGGAACTGAGTCTGCCGGGAGCAAGACATCAGGTTCTGTGGAAAACGGGAAAGATAGATGCGTCTTAAGAACCGCTGCCATTCCGTGGGCCGCTCATTCATTAACTCATCCATTCAACAAATGTTTATTGATTACCAGGCACTTGCGCAAATATCCTAAACTCATTTCTCATTTAGTCTTCACAAAAAACCCGATGAGGTAGCTACTGTTAGCTCCATTTTACAGATAAGGAAGCTGAGGTCCAGAAGGGTTAAGAGACTTGTCCAGGACACACAGCTTGTAAGTGACGGAGTAGGCATTTGAACCTAGGTCTGTCTAGCCCCGGTGCCCATCTCCTAACCTCGGTGTGCTCGGGCGTGCAGTCAGGAGCGAAGTGTTGATGGGATGTCCGGGGCCACAGGGCGGATTGGTACCCTCGAGTGAAGAATATAACAGTACCCTACTGGACACCAATAAAGTTGACCAAGCACAGCGCTGGGCCTTGTACTAGCTACCATGGTAATACAAAGACCTATTCGCTGCCAGAAAAGGCTTCTGATATCTACTAACCAATTTACTGAGCACCTGAGTGCTGTGCTGGGCCTTGTGTAGGCACTGGGGGTGCAAAGAAAGCATCTCCTTCCAGATTAAGTGGGGGCTTATGAAAGTGCTGTCACCTAGGGCAGTCCAAGAAGATTTCTCAGTGGAGGGAATACTTGAAGGATGAGAACTTACCAGGCAGAGGTGGGGGGAGGGGGGAGGCCTTCCCAGACTGAGGGGACCATATGTGCAAAGACGAGCATTAAAGTACTCTGGGTGTTAAGGGAACTGTGAACGGTCTGGTTCAGCTGGTGCTCCTTGGGGAGTGGTGGGCAGTGAGCTTGGGATGGTAGACAGAGCCAAGTCGTTGGGGAGTGGGAGGCCTTAACTATCCTGCTAAGAAGTTTGGTCTTGACTCTCTACATGGGGGCACAGCGTGATCAGATTGCTTATTGGGCAATAGATTGCAGTAGGATAAGACTGATGGCAGGGAGACCTATTAGAGTGGCCAAGTAGGAGATATTAAGTATTCTGATGAGTGACAGGAATTGAGTTAAGAAATATTTAAGAGGAAGATTGGCGTGGACCTGGTGAATGTATGGGTGGTGGGGTGAGGAAGTGACCTTCAGAGTTTGACTCTTGCAACTGAGTGGTTGGTCTTGCCGTTAATAAGAGGGCTTTGAGATGAGACATCACGAAATCCAAGATAGAATAATACAAAGATCATTAGATAAATGCCATCAGGGCTGAAGAGCAGTACAATTACATCTTTGGGGGCAGGAGGTACTTAGGAATGTCTTCTTAGAGAGAGTAGTGTGAAATGGACCTTGAAAAAGGAGTAGGACCTTTCTTCCTTCTTTTCTTTTTCTTGAGTAGATTTTAGTAGGCAGAGATGGGGGAGGAGGGTATTCTAGATGGCCATACCTTGGTATGCCTCTTGTGTGGTGAAGTAGTAGGAAATCTGGAAAGTCAAATTGGGGGACGTATTGTGAAATATGTTGTACTTAATCCCTGGGACGTGAGGAGGCTCTGAATGGTTTTTGAGACAAGCGAGTGATGGTTTGAGCTCTGATTTTAAAAAGTTAATTTCACAGCTGTGTACAGTGAGGAGGCCAGGAAACCAATGAAGAAATGGACTAGGGAGGGGCTTGTTGGTTGTAAGTGGCAGAAACCCAACTCAAATAGTTTAGGCCAAAAAGGAGAACGTGTAGGTTCATGTAACCGAGCTAAGGAAAGGGACAGATCTGGCTTCAGGGATGGCTAGATCCAAGTACTCAAATGCTGTCAAGTCAGTCCATTTTTCTCTTACTCCCACAACCTCCCATCTCTTAGCCCTGCTTCTATCTGCCTGTTGGCCTCATGGTCTGCTACTATCCATGAGTTTCCACCATGTAGCAGGCAGTGTGATCTCAGGCAGCAGGGGGTATATTCTTACAGCTGTGCAACTTGAGAGGAAAAATCTTCCCCATCAGTTAGAAGAACCCTGGGGACGGACTCTAGTTGCCCAGTCTGGGTCACATATCCATCCCTGGTTCTGTGGGGCAGTATCTGTTACCAGGGGCAGAAGGATAGTTCCTGCTTGTCCTGGTGAGCAGAGCAGCCTTGGAGAAGAAAAGGAGTGGTCAGGAGGTAGGAGAACAGAATTCTAATGGGTCATGGAAGCCAGTGGAGGAGTTTGAAGAAGAAGAGGAGTGCTCTATGACTGATGACAAAGTAACTTAGGAGGTTTTTTCAAAAATATAGATCATGGAACCTATTTAATTAGAATCTCTAGTGGTGGGAGCCAGGGATCTGGCTTAAGGAGTTGAATTTAACAGAAAGTTTGAAGGTCAAAAATAAAATCTGGCAATTAAATTTGATGATTGGAAGCCATGGAGCACCTTTGAGATGCAATTTCAGTTGGGAAGGGAGGACAGAAGGCAGATGGCCAGTCTTTCTGTGTTCTTCACTGCTCCTAATTCTTCTTCTTTTTTTTTTTTTTGTGAGAAAGATTGGCCCTGAGCTAACATCTGTTGCCAAGCTTCCTCTTTTTGCTAAGGAAGATTGGCTCTGAGCTAACATCTGTGCCCATCTTCCTCTGTTTTGTATGTGGGATACTGCCACAGCCCGACTGGATGAGCAGTGTGTCGGTCCGTGCCTGGGATTCGAACCTGCGAACTCCTGGGCCACTGAAGCAGAGCGTGCAAACTTAACTATGCCACTGCACTGGCCCCTACTTCTCCTAATTCCTAACTTTGTTTCAGGGGTATTACAAACCCTGACTGAGGTAAAATTTCTTCACGGAGATATTTTAGCTCAATACATTAGGAAAAAACAAAGGAAAGCTATTAGAAAGATGGTTATTCAG